TGTAACAGTAGTGTGCAGAACCAAACAAACTCGCTTTGCTTCCAACTGCTTGATGACATCCTCAGGAATCTTGAACTGCTTCACAAACTCCAGCATGAAATCTGCTTCTTCCAGAAGCCCCACCTTAGGCTTCTTGAGATGCTCGGAGACACAGGACACGAGTTGTGGCCAGGTGGCATGTACTACGACATCGGAGTCCACAGACCACATGGTCAAGTAGACCTTGCCTTCCACAAACGGGTGAATCCTTTTTCGGGGGCCCTGTTGTTTGGTGGATTTCAAGGGAAAGCAAGCGGGAACCGAGCTTTTTGGGGGGGATTCCCCTAAAACAAGCACACCCAAATCCGAGCAAAAAACGAGAAAAGCCACCAGAAACGTGACAAAATCGGCCGTCCGATGAGGTGACGCCTTGCACCGTTTCCAGCTCACTGAAGCACTCCAGCACTTTCCCGGAGCTCAGGAGCTCCTCCAACTTGTATCTCACCACCTGCGTTGTTTTTTCTTCTTTCGTCGGCAGAAGCCGGATCCGGGGATCCGGGGCACGGGATGCTTCTTTTCCTCAAGACGGGACCTCACCTTCTTTTTGGCTGGGGGCGCGCTTTTTTTCTCGTTTCAGGAGAACTCGTAGGCCCCTTGCGAGCTACGCAAGGAACCCGACACCGACGCGCCCCGAACCTCCTGCCTTGTGACTGGTCTTGGTCCTTTCCCTGGCAGCCTGCTTCTGCAACATGAAGGGCAAGTCGTTTCCCTTCAGGATCGCTGACTCCAACTTGGCCACGTTGCTGATCCGGTCCGGCCTTGGGGTGGGGCGCGGGGGGTGCATCATTTTGGTCGGTTTGAAGGGAAACCAAAAGGAAAAAAGGAAAACCGAAGCCATTGTAGGGATCCCCTACAAAAGAACACGCCCAAGTGGCTCCCATACAAAGGACTTTTCCTCCCCCCGAGCAGCCCGAGCGAGCGCGAGCGAGTCGGTCACTCGCCAAGAAGCACAGTCATGGTCTTGGAGTGCTCGATGACCGCCTTGAGCTCCAGCTCACCCCTGCCAGAGACCATTTCGCAAGTCTCTTCTGTTTGCTTCACCAAAGTCACCCCCTAAGTGGCGGGTTGAAGGGAAACAAACCCATTTCTGACTTTGAGAGAACCCCCACAAGACGTCAAAATCATGACCCCTGTCTTCTGTGCCCAAAATTCCATGAACCATGAGAGACGGCACGCTCTGGTTTGCGCCCCCACCTGCGGATCGCTTCCGCATGGCGGTCTCTTTCCATCGGGAGCCTCGAGAGGCCCAGGAGCATGGTTTGCAAATACCGACCTCAGCGTGTCAGTCCGTGAGCCGAAGCTCCAAGTCCATGGAAATCACGCACAACGCACGCTTCCTCAGCAGAACAGGACACTTTCTCCAAGGAAACGATGAAACGGTTTTTGCACCAGGTGGATGTGCACCAGGCAAAACCCAATTGTAGCCCTGCGGGAATGTCCATACCAACAATCCGCCCGAGAAAGGAAACGGAAAGGAAATGGCCTCGAAAAGACCACCCGCAAGCCCCGGTTTGGATCCTTCTCTAGTGGACCCCTTCGATTTTCCTTTGGCCTTCCTCTTAAAACCAACCAACAAAAAGAACATGGGATGACCATTGGGGTTCCCCCACTAAAACCTTATTGTTCCCACAGGAGAAAAGTGGCATTGCTCAAAGCCGGGGCCTCAAAATGGCATATTGATCAACCCCCATTCGGTTTCTCTCTTTGTTTAGCCCCACACTGGCTTAACGGCCTAACGGTTCTCCTCTTGGCATCCCTTTAGAAAAAGAGCCACCAGAAAAGACGGGGGGGGGGGGGGGGTTCAACAAAAAAAGAAAGACGACGTGCCTATGTCGCCCATTTGAGTCATAATCAAAACCCGGTTTAAATTGTCTACCCAGAGCCATGTAAAGAAATAAGAAGGCGGATATCCGCAGCTAGGACTATCCCTTACTCATCTCCATCTATCCTGGTTTTGAGCACGTGGCTCATTTCGCATCCGTGCGGCTGTGGCGGTTCCTGGCCAGGATCACCGCGGCCATGGCCTCCAGCACCTCCTCCACGCTGGTCTCGGTCTCGATCAAGTCGCCCACCGCTTGGATGCCCTGAAAGCGGAGAAAAAAAGAAGAAGAAGAATAAAAAGAGAAAAAGAAAGGCGACTGGTGTTACTTGCTTTTTGGGCTGCTGGAGAGAAAGACGGTTCTTGGATTTGCTTTCTTTCTGGTGAAAAAGGTACCTGACACGACTTGTTGGTGTTCTATGTGGGTTCCAAAACAGAATCGCTGCAAAACAAACGGGAAACCAGCCTGAGAGAGCATTTCCTCCAGGGTAGGGTTCTGCGAGCATTGCTTCAACAGAGCCTGCGATATATAGCGAGAACAGCACAGAGAGCACCCTCAAAAGGCTGCAAAAACAAGTTGGCGCCTCAAACTCTTCCTTGAGACTCAAGAAGTTCGAGGATCGCAAAGGTGGCAGGCTTCGAAAAAGATCCTCCAGCACCTAGCATGCGCAGGGTAAGCAAAGGCAGGCTGATCAGTCGTGCCAGGCCTTGTTGTTGTTATCCTCCTTCAAGGTACGAATGACCTCGGCTTGAACAACCCAAAGCCAAACTCGAGCCATTCCCGAGCAATTGGACATTGGCTCTTCGTCGAAGGGGCATCCACATTCTCGGACAGCTTGCCCTGCGCAAGCGAATCGAGGCTTCGAGGCTTCGAGCCGGGGCCTTAAAGGTATGAATCTTACTTAGGGACCCTGTGGTGGACATCATTTAGGTGGGGATTCATGTCCACCAATATAAATAATAATAACAATAATAATAACAATAATAATAATAATGATAATAACAATAATAATAATAAGAAGAAGAAGAAGAATAACAATAATAATAATAATAATAATAATAATAATAATAATAATAATAATAATAATAATAATAATAATAATAATAATAATACGAATATAACAATAACACCAATAACAACAATAATGATAATAAAATAAACAACAAAAATAGAGGAGGGCCGCGCCTCCTCGCTTGGCTTGCCACCTCCGGCACTGAGTTGCAGGGGCACCTGCGCTCGGCTCAGCTCCGTCGGCTCAGATCGGAAGTCGGATCAGGCCGCTGCAACGTGCCGGGAGCGCTGTGCAGCGCGAAACCTGGCAGATCGTCATGGATCTTTCCTGGCACGGGATGGAATCGGACAGCTTTGCCTGTCCTGCCTTCGAGCGTCCTGCGGGTGTCTCTTTTTGTGGGCACCCCCAAAATGAGTGGTTGTCTTTTAATGTTTCTCTTAAAAATCAAGAAAAAAGGGGTACCCTCAAGACACGACCTGAGAAAGGGTGCCATTCGGAACCGGATCCCACAAGTCCAAGGCCTTTTGAAGCCTGTGCTGCCCAAGGCTCTGTGAAGAGGAATCGATGCTGGATGGTGATGCGGTGGAGAACCTTGGGCTCTGGTTTCCCTTTATCTCTGTCTCCCAGCTCCTTTCGGATTCATGCTTCCAGCACCCAATCTTCTTTCCTTCTTTTGGATGTGTCCTTGCTTTCCAGTTCACTCACTGTGGAACCAATTATAGAATTATATTAGGAATGAATGCCATGGAAAAGCCAATTAAAAGCTTTTAAAAGGATTCAAGTTGTTACAGCTAAGATATTAATACCTGACAAATGATGGGATTCCTCTTTCCCTGTCACACCTTCCTTTGGCTTCGCTAATCTTGGTTATAGGGTGTGACAGGAAATGGAAAGAAGAATGGGAGAGATGTACCCTCACACAAAAAGACAAACCCAATCGGAGCTGAGGCGCTTCCGAGCCCTTCTCTGCCTTGTCAATCGCCTCCTTCACCAAAGCCTCTGAGCACAGTCCGATCTTCCTGCAGACCTCAGCGACCCAAAGCGACCGAGTGCAGAGGGATGGATCGCGGCTCGCCTCGTCCAGGGGATCTCCGGACTGCTGCCTGGCATCCGCGCTGGCATTCTCGCGCGCATGTAGCGTGCACAACGTGTATGGCGGAAAGGCCTGATCTTGTTGACGTTGGTCACAAGCAAGTTCTGAAACTTCACCAGTGGTGAAGTGGGAACATAGATACCTTGGCTGCAAGATACTGGTCTGTTGACACCCATCGCCGTGCGAGTACAGGTTTGGTACGGCTGCCAACCCAAACCCTCGCGGCACGTCGTTTCTCTCCATTCTACCCGTGTGTGTTTTGGGTGAACCCAGTTCTTTCTCCGGGTTGCTCCTGGGTTCCCGGTCATAGTGCCGCACCAACGTCTGCACCATCACCGCGCTCTCCGGGTCCTCCGCGTTCGACGCGTTCGCCGAGCGCTCCAGCAGGTACCGCAGGATCTCCGGCTTGAGCCTCGCCCGGATCTTGCCCAGCCGCTTCTTGCCCCCCGGCACCGTCAAATCCTCAAAGGCGTCCCGCACCGTGCCTCGGGAGAAATCCAACCAAAAAATGTGTATGGCTTACATATAGCCGAAACTCTGCGAAGCAGCTAAATTGCAATGAGCCAAAATGCTGCGCAAGGACTTAGCAAGCTTGCACCTACCAAAGTTACAAGCCGGGCGGTATTAATTGTTGCTTTGGATGCAGATTCGCACAATTAGATGACAACAGCATGATGCGGGCAGGTGCAGCATTGCTGGTCCTTGTACAGATCGAGCTAATTATAGAACAGTTTGGGAGTCACATCCGAGCCAGGAAGATCTTACATGTGCAAACAGAAGGCGATGACGAAATGAGGTCCATGTCATCTGGTTGACTGTTGCCAGGTTATCTTTTGCATTGCAAGGGATTTGGAACAAGCAACTTGCCACAGGGTTACAGTAGATGAGTTTCCGTTTTCGATCAACGCTTTTTTAACCTCCTACATATCCTTTATCATCCTTGCTGAGGGAGTTGCAGTGGTCTTGTGCTTCGCTTTCCTTCAAGGCATCTAGCTGGCCGGGCATGCAAACATGAAACCTCATGACGTAGATTGCCTAGTGCTAAAAGCAATCTAACAGCACCAAATTCAAGAACCACAGTTCACCACGCCACGGTGCAACCGTAGTAGTTGATGTACTCGCACAACCCCATGGGAGCCTTCGAGCACTTCCACTTCCTTTCAGTGCTCTTGGATGTTGGATGTATTTTATATACAGATATACATTTGTTGCACGACAATGTACCGAAAGCTGGGGTGAAGTCGGCACGGTGTGATGTCAAGGGGCTGAGGTTGAAGAGAACATCGCCATCCGAGTTGTTCTTCTCGCAGTGTAGCAAGCCGACCTCCTTGCCACCAAACTTCTTGGGATCACGAAGAAGTGGAAGCATCTTGGCCGAACCCAAAACTCGATTGTCAGATTTGCTCCTTGCCAGGAAAGCTCCGTTGCAAAAGGGAGGTCTCGGTAAACCCAAAGGTTAAGTCTGCCTACGAGAAAGAAGCCTGCCTCACGCGACTCGAAGCGTGTCTAAGCCAAGCAACTATGCCGTTCAAGAAGAGGCGGAACAAGGGCTCCGCAATCTTCAACTCCACCTGCGTCCGCAGTCGCCAACGACACAAGTTCTACGCGTGCGCGCAGATCAGAGCGCAGCTCCCAGTCGGCGCCTCTGTGCCAGCCTCATCCTCCTGGGCCGGCTGCGGGTTCCCCCTGACTTTTTTGGGGCCGTCGGGTGTGGCGGGCGGCTCGGCTTTTTCAGCTGCAATCCGCGGTCCTCCCCGCCCACCAGCTGACACTCCTTGATGCTGTCCCGGCAAAAGGCGAAGAAGCTCCAGAAGCTCGGCGCCAGCGCCAGGCGGCCAATGGACGACACCACCTCGGAAGGCGCGTTTCGCGCGCGAGAAGGAACGGCGTTTTCATGGGGAGAAAAACCCGAACAAGCGGCGTCCACTTTGAAGAAGTCGTAGAACATGTCCAGCTCCTGCAGTGGAAGTTGGCACTGAAACGGCTCTCGCTTCCACCCGCGTTCGCGCGTCAGTCTGGAAATCGCTTCCACCTGATGCAAAAAACAAAAAAACAACCCGCGCGCGACGCGCGCGAAACGGCGCTTCGTCCTTGGTGAAGTCTGCGCGGAGCTCCTGGGGCGCCTGCTCCTTGAGCTTCGCCGCGATGGACGGGGACTTCCTCATGTCACAAGAGGCGCACGTGCGCGCAAGCGCGCGCCCTCGCGCGGACGGGATCGCATGGGACATGCCTGGCCACAGCGGGCACGAACTTCAGAACAATGGTATTACGGTATAGCGCAGGAAGGATGTTTGAGTCACAAACAGCTGAGCGCTCAGTAACCGGGAAGGGCTGGCTGGCTAAAGCACACGCTTTGGCAAGGGGCAGGTAGTGGCCGAACTCCAGGGACCAGGTCTGGCCTTTCTCCAGCCTAGCTGACTCACGGCTCACAGCTCGCCCCACGCAAAATCGGGCGGCTGAGCCGCGTCTTGTAGGTGACAGCACCCATCAAGGTCACCGGCTGGCCCTGCTCGTCCGTCTTGTGGCAGTCCTTAGCCCATATGGCTGTGGGTCAAAAATTGGTACCCAAACAAGAACCCTGGTAAATGGAACCAAGGACTAAAACCTGCGATCCCCCACTGGTCATTGTTTGACCCATACCCATATTCGATTTCATAGGCGAATCGACCGATCCAGAATTCTGTCGAGGCGCCATGAGCGGATGGATCACCTCCTCGAAGTGAAAGCGGTGAAGTGCGAAGAAGGAGAAGAGGCGAAAGACCCGGCTGTTGGGCTGGAAGACGTCGTCAATGTGCTTCGCCTCTCGCAACGCAACTAAGCTCAACTGGCAAATCATTCTGTCTAGGCCTGCTCTAACTCCTTGGATGTCATCAGCTGCAGCAGAAGGATAAACCTCACATTCGAGGACACCACCGCACGACACTCAGCAAGCAAAAGCGCGGGGCAGATTCCTGATCCTGCTGTCATGGAGATCCGCGAAAATGGCGCAAACCACGTTGACGAAGACCTTGCCAGGCGAAAAAGTCAGGCAATCTTCCCCGGTCCGAAACCTGAAAAATTCGGTCCACGCCTCCGCCATTGCCTCGTCTTTGATGGTCATAGACAACGAGGCGAGGTAGGAGATCTGCAGCTGCAGCACCGTGAAGAGCTCCTGAGATTTTTTCGCCAAAGCGCACGTAGCTGGCGCCCGTTCCAGCCTCGGAACCACACAAAACCTGCCGCGCCGTGTCGGGTTTATGTTGGTCCTCGTAGGACGGCATGCGCGCCATGAGCTCCTGATCCAGTCCTTGGAGCGACATGGCCATGGGTCACAACCGTTTTGGGATCCCATTCTGGTTGGTAGGTGAATTCACCCATTTTAGAACCTAGTGGGGATTGGGCTGTTCACTGGGGGTACGATTTGGGTTTTGACCCATGGGCACATCGAAATATTCCTCAGAGAAAGTCCCAGATCCGGTCTGGGCAACCCCGGCGATCGCGCTCCGGGTCTTTATGCACATGGTGCTGCAGCACGTTGTTCAGGTACACGATGCCCTTTTCCACCCGCTCCTAATCACCCCAGGTTAAAAGTTGAATGAAACACCAAAGAGACCTGAAGGTTTGGTGCCCTTTGATTAGTTGGGGTTCTCCCCCCCCGCCCCGGTTCAGAAATCCTTCAGACCGAGCGCGCGAATTCAGTCCTGCAGCACCACCGAGAGGCGCCGCTCCTTCTCCGGCACAGTGGCGAGGCTCTGCACGCTGCTCTCCACCAGCTTTTTCAGCTCCTCCCCACCCAGTCTCAAGATCTTGAACTCCCCTTCCACCTTTTTCACCCAAATCCTTTCAGACTAAATAGGGGAAGGGAAGCCTGAGAACGTTTTGCACATGTCTTGGCTCACGGTCGGCAGTGCACCTCTCCTTTTCGTGCTTGTGCAAGCTGCCTTGAGAGGTGATGGCAGCAAGGTGACATCTAACTTTAAGTTGCATTTGCATCCACGGTGCTGATCTTGTTGCTTTCAGGTTCTTCCCTGAGCATAGTCCTGAGTTGGAGTTCGCATTGACATGTTCAATGCCAGCAAGACAAAAAAAAAAGGTCTTCCGAGGCGCTGCATGGTCGAGAAGCGCTGAACCTTCTGGCCTGACACGTCCCATGCAGTATGATGCTTGTATCTCAAAAAGTGTGGCCTGAAGTAATTGCATAAATGAAGGGGTTTGGCCTGAAGTGATGGCGTAAAGCATGTTCTCCTTGGTGCTTTGAAAATCTTCCTGGCCGCGAGCCCGCGCGAGGCGGCTAATACGCCTTGAACGCTCGGTCGCCTCGTCTCCGTCGTCCACGGAGCCCTCGGTGCCTGCATCCGCCTCCTGTGCCTGCAGAGAATCCCAAGCCAACTGACGGGAGACCAGAACCATCTGGCCATGGGTCAAAACCCCGTACCCCCAATGAACATCCCAATCCCCACTCAATAGACTAACATGGGTGGTGAATTCACCTACCCCAAAATGGCACCATTGGTTTTGACCCACTCGAAACAAAGCCGAGCAAGACCGAAACCAAAAAGTGAGTTGAACACAGATCAACGCCTCCAGGCCCCAAAGCCCCTTCGACCAGAAAAAGGCCTGTGACTGACGAGCTTCAGCTGACACAAACGAATGCAAGTCGCGCAATTGATTTGTCGAAGCGGCGCTTGTGCCAACCCAATGCGCAATGCCTTTGCTGTTCGCTTCTGGCTCTTGACAAGACACATGCGTGTTGAGAAGTGAGGAAAAGCCGAGAGAACACATGAAATTATTGGTTCTGTCTGGCACTCCGTTTGCTGCCTCTGCTACCTTGAGTTGGCTGCCTACTCCTGCAGAAAAAGAGAAGGACTGCTGACGTCACTTCTGCATTCCAGCAACCAGCACACACAGAGCTTGAACCAACAAGATTCAAACTTCGTTTGCATAGAACCTTTGTTGCTGGCGCCCAGCCACTTGCAGCCGACGCAATAATCTTACGTACATAGCAATACGTTCCGTTCAGTGCCCCCAGCACAGGACCCTTGAGCATGCGGTCCAGTGTATCATGGAAGCGTATCATGGAAGCGAATCAGCCACAGGCTGAAACCCGCGGCAAATAAGAAGTGCCAGATTGCAAACCGGATGCCGAACGCCAAACAACACAATCCCAGTCGAGCCAATCGCTTCCGGCCGCCAGGCCTCTCCGATGGTTGCCAATGCTGCAGCTGTCACTTTCTTGCCGGCTTCACCTAAACGTCGGGAGCTGTGCGCATGCGGAGCGTCGAAACGCCGCCTCGCTTTTCCGAGAACGCAACCTCAAGATTGTTGGAACCTTGCTTTTTCCCAAAAGACTAGACACCTGATTCTGAGTTAGCAGCTACTCCAACCAACTGCGCAAGCAACCAACGCCCTTGCAAAAACCGATCCGACAACTTGGGTATGGGTCAAAATTAAACCACCAGGGGACCACGGACCTATTTGGGGTAACTATTTTTGACATTCCCGGCCTTCCTCGTCAGCACCGCTCATGGCCTCAATGGAGCCCCACTCCGCCCGCACCATGCGCGGCTTGAAGAGCACCTAGATCGAAGTTTCCGTCGAAAGCTGGCTGAGGTCTTTCTTGGAGGGTACCCCGTGTGGCTTTTCTTGGGAAACCAAAAGGAAACCCTCTTTTTTGTCTGGGCGGGGGGCCTTTTCCGGGGTTGCCCTATTTGGAGGCACGCCCAATGCCTTCTCCATCTTCTTCTCTTGCAGTCCCAGGCGTCCGCAGCTTTGGTTTCCCCAAGCCAGCATCGCCTCAATCCGAATCATCTCGACGCATGGAGTCGAAAAGATCCGCGCCTTGTTCCTGGCATAGACCACCATGTGCCCCGGTCCAGCACACATCAAGATGGGCGGCTGCGGCAGGTTCCCAATGATCTCTGGCTGGGGCGACTCCTGGGCGACTTTTCGATCGCCACAAGGCGAACTTGGCGAATGTCGCAACTCTCTCAGCTCCTTCTTGCCACCTTCCAAGCCAATCTGACCGTTGCGGTTGTCACCCCAGGCGTAGACGAGTCCTGAAAGCAACGCAAAGCCACATTGCAGCTGTGGCAGGAGGGCTGTCCTGCTGATGTTACCAGCATTGTAGTCATGTCAGACGTGGCCTCAGTCCAAGCCAGCACCAAATCGCCCTCCACCAAGTCAAGGAGCAGACTACGCAGGTGACCTTTGGCTGGCCATCAATCTGCATGAACTTGATTGGCACCTGTTCAAGTGAATCGTGGCACGTTTGGAAAGACTCACATCGTGCCCGTCACAAGAGGCCCGGACAGAATTACTCGTTTCCCCCCAAGAACCTTGAGTGGGCCCTGGTCCTTCTCAAACTCGCAGTAGGCTTCCAGGATTTGTTTGTCAGTTGATTACGCATTGCGAAGCGAGGCTCAAAACGAAGGTCAATGCTACACTGCACGTTTCCTGTTGACCCCGCCTTGGCATTCTCGTGCTCACAAATGCAGCGATTGCGGCCCCAGACCCAAAGGTCGCCTGCCATCTCGCCGTTGTCGTTGACCACACCCTTCTCGTAGCTTAAAGCACCTGGGGGCAATTCGATGCAGCTGGTCAGCTCAGCCGATTGATGGACAAATCCTCGAAATCAGTCACCACACAGCATTCCCCTGTGCGTCATTCTCTCACCGAAGCGCAGCTGTGATACGCTCCACAATGGACAGAGCGGATCCGCACAACCAAGCTCTGGATCAATTTGGGCTCATACTGATTCTCCTCGGCGCAAGTTTCACTCCTGCCTCATGCTCCAACCGCGGCCAAACCCGGCAGGACCGACAAAGGATCTGCAGCCAGGCTTCCATATCATTGTGCCCCAGCTTGCCAAACCAACCTCCGCCGAAGGTCCAAACGCCTTTGCTGAGAGGACTCACTTGGCAAATGGCCTCAATTCTGGTAAACAAAACATGAAAGCACGTGCCGAGTTGCGCCCAGTGCGGTCTCCTTCTGTATCGCTTTTGCGAGCACAAATCACCGCTGTGTGGTACTGGCCACAGCTCAGGGAGATGGGGACCTGAGCCGTAAATATCTAAATGCAAACACTGCTGTCGTGGCGCAACTCCTCCTTTTCTCAAACACCCCGACTTCCGCCCACTCCCTTCTGAACCTCAACCCTTACCTCAGCTCCATCTGCTCTCCCCTTGCCATTCTTGCTCTCTCCCCACCCCCAAATCCACCCCAAACCCACCCCAAACCCACCCCAATCCAACCCGCCGAGGCCCCCGCGCAGTCGGCCTTCCCGAAGCCCCGCACGCAGGCGGGGGGGCTGTCCGTGGAGCTGAGCTGAGCCGAGCCCAGGCCCAGCTTCCCCAGCTCCGAGGCGCCCCACATGTACCTCCATCTGGGCGCAAAAACCAAACGACGGAAAAACGAAGAAAGAAGAAAAAAGAAGAAACAAGAAAAGGGGGAAAAAAACTGGTACATGGAACCCAAGCACTACAACCTGCAGTTCATATCCTGGCTTCATTTTGACCCAGGCCCAAATCCCACGACTGGGAAACCCGGGCGCTTTTAGAAAACATGGGAAAGCCCAGTTGGCGCTGTTGGAACCCGAAGAGAGGTCCAAAGCATTTGGAGTTTTCTGAAAATGGATGGATCTGCAGAGATCGGGGTTGGGAAAAAGAAAAGCTTGAGATCTCCCGGTGGCTCGATGTTGCTTGATTTTGGGCTTGGGACAATGGCAGGGCACAGCTCATTCTCGCTTTCACTCCGACAAATGGCACCGCTGTGGTCCTGCGAAAACAACAATTGCCAAGGGGCAATTGAGATGACATCAAAGCACTTTCACCACGACTTGGCAATTGGGCAGTTGCATTAACAATGACAAAGGACCTGAGCACGACGGGCATTCACCCAGTCCCACTCCTCCCCAGCCGCGCAGCACAGCGCATTGGTGATCCCCACAGCCTTCGGCGTGGCTGTATCCTCATTCCGTCCGACTCCAAGTTGGCCCTGCAGGGGCGACACGGCTGATTCACAACACCTTGCAGGTATCGCGGCTTCAACATCCCTGCTCCGAAGTGAGCCCTTGCAGCCTTCACCTAGCCCCAGGACTGTTGCCCCCAGCCGGTCCCAATGCAGTAAGCCAAACCAACCAGTTGCATGTATCTCGTGCTGGCTCTCATCACTTGGGGACCTTTTCCAGACTCAGCCCCAGCTGAGAAGTCCCAGACGAGTCCCGGCCCAAGCTCAGCCAAGCTTTGCAGCGCTCTGCACTGACATACCCAGTCCAGCTCACTCCATGCGTGCATCCCTCTCTCTCTCTCTTTCTTTTTTATTTTCTCTCTCTCTCTCTCTCTCTCTCTCTCTCTCTCCTCTCTCGTGTTCTCTATTTGTCTGTCTGGCTGTCTGCGTGCATGCATGCGTGTGCAACATGCGCTTGGCCCTCACAGCCAGAACCAGCACGGGGCATGTCCTTCCACGCCTGACTTCAAGTTCCTGGCAATCACTTTCCGCTGCAGCCCACCAGACTTCAGCCCAGGTTGACATGGGCAGCGCGCGGAGTGTATAACAAAGCCCTCAACTGGTCTTCTTTTCTCACGATGTCGGTTGCGCCTTGTCACCCTTGCCCCAAGCATAGGCATTGCCGTCGTAGGTCACGGCGATGCAATGCTCACGGCCGCAGGCTACTGATTTCACCAGCCTTCCAGATGGCATCCGCACCACCTGACCCCATGGCACCGTGCGGGCAAAGGATTTGCTATCCTGCTAGTTCATTCACAGAGAGCACAACGTGAACAGCTCCGCCCTCCCAGCCTTAGGCACCCAACTGTCCTGGTGCCAGCCGAGACAACAAGCTTCTTGCAACACGTGGGTGTCTCAAAATGATAATTTCCTCTTTGCCTTTGAAACCTTTTAAGACACACGTCAATCGAGCGAGACTGCAGCTCCTTTTTAGTGAACTCCCCGCAACGGAGCTAGGCCAAAACTTAAGAGCTATTTTGGGTTGCGCAGGGTTGCCAAAAGAGGCCACTTCGGGGTGCCATCTTTTTTTGAGCAGCCAAATGGGTGTGGGTCCCCAAATGGAACCCTGGTAAACGGAAATAAGCTCCATTTACCTGCGGATATCCTGCTAATTCATTTTGACCCACCGCCAAATCGAGCAAAGCCAACCGCTTGTCGCCAACTGTCCTGCAGGCTGCCGGTGCCCAGCTGCCCCCGCGCGCCGGAGCCCCAGGTGTAGAGGGCCCCGTGCCAGGTCACCGCGCAGCTGAACATGTCCCCGCCTGAACCGCAAACCCACCGTGGACAGGGGAGAGACCCGCCGGCATCGCTTTACTTTGAACAGAAAATAAAGGGTTGGCCATGGCCGCGCAATGACTGACCTTGCGCGTCCTGAAGGGCACCCCTCACACAAGGTTCGTGTGATCAAAGAGTGAAAACCTTTTGAACATAGGCCTATAGGGGGAAAGAATGGTGCAAGGGCACTTCCGAGGGGGTTTGGGAAGCTGAGCATTCAGTGAATCCAAGGCGTGCGTACCAGCCACGCCAGCTGAGCACGCGGCACTCCAGACAGGCAATCTCCCAGCTCTGCTTGCCGCTGCCCGGGGCGCTGGAGAGGGCCTTCTTCAAGGTCTTCTCTGAGGGATGCTCCAAGGGCCTCGCGAAGTCTCTCTTTACCCCGAAGTTCGAACTGGTCGGTTCAAGAAACCCACGGAAAACCGACCCATTTCGGTGGGTCTCCGAAAAAACAGGTAACAGACCCGCAAGCTTCAACATCTTTCGCGCCGCCTTGATTCGGCAGCGCTGCACTTCACGCGACCCAAGGCCCGGGCCTCTTCTGCGCCGTCCGCTCGCCTTCCGCCGTCTTCAGCTTGGTGGCGAAGCCGTAGGGGCCGATCTTCGCCGGAACCTTCTGGTTCTTGTTGCTACCTCCGACTCAACCGGCAGTTGGAGCATGGGATGAGCAAGCCCCAGCCTGTGCCCAAACGTCCACTGGCTCCCTGGCCGAAAGTGATGATCTCGCCGTCCTCCATGAGTACCTCGCCACGATGGCTGGCATTTTTCTCTCTCTGATACGGTCCAACCAGTCCAAGCGGTCCAAGCGTAAGCGCAACTTCCGACCCTTGTTGGATGGTTTCAAGAACAAACCGAGTTGGCTTCCAATACAGGAGAGTCCTGAATTCAATGCAACCCGCTTGTTCAAGCCAAGCAATATCATGCAATGGGGGAGGGATTCTGACCTGCCCAGTGGCCAAAGTGTGGTAAGGTCCTGCCGCAATTTGCAGCACCTGGGCTTTGCTGAGCTCCTCCAACGCAACGAGGAGGGGAGATGGGGCGATGCCGCCCATCTTGTTCCCCAAGACTTCCCCATAGCCTTAGCCAACTCCAGTTGACTTGTCTCTCTTGGCCCAAGGCTCTCCGCAGGCAAGTTGCCCCAAGTATAGAGACAGTTGGTTCTTCCAGTGCCGGCCACTGCCACGCTGTGAAAGCTTCCCAGGGCCAGCTGACTCACCCTGGCTTCATCTGGCATGGAGATCCTGCCGGCGACACGCGCAACTGACCAGTGCCACATTCCAAGGGTTGGGTTGTAGGACATTCTACAGGAAAACACCTGATTTAGGGCGCTTTTGGGCCGTAAAAACTTCCCTGTAACCCTTCAACACATTCCCCGCTCCAACAAGCACCCAAGGCTTCACACGACCAAATCGCTCGCCTCGCCTCCTTGGCAGCGGCACGTCCATGATCTCGCCGAGGCCCAAGCGGCCGTAGGAGCCGAGGCCCCAAAGCCAAAGGGCGCCTTGGAGACCCCAGGCGGTTCTTGGGTCTCAAGGATGAGCCCTGGCAAATGGACGACACATGGTGACCAATTTCGCTGCTGGGTCCGATTTCGCCTTTCGCCGCTGGGTCGAAAAATCCGAAAAAGAAATCAAAAAAATGGCAAGCCTCGCCCTGGGAAATGGACGCATTTGGACCAAAAAACCGGGGACATATCCTGGTGGTGGTTTTATTTCGACCCATTTTCCATTTCACCTCCACGTAAGGACGCATGCTCAAGAATACTCCCCATCAAAGCTGCCTGCATGTGGATGCAGTGTTTGGGCGATAGACGATTGTGCACATGTCAGGCTCACGGCGCATCCAAGCGCATCCAACATGTTTTAGAAACAACGCAAACATGTCAACATCGGAACTCCCCAAGTGTGCCACAGATCAGAAAATGTGCTGTTCCAGCAAAGGAATTGGGAAAAAGTGAGTCCTCCCATGCTCTTCCAAATTGATGATGGACTACTGGGTTCCATGAAACTGTAAGTATATAGTTGTTGGCTGTGCCGAGGCGCCGCTTACGTCGACAGCACCGCTGTGAGCCTCCCCCGCAGCGACCAGCGAGATCTTGCAGCTGAGGAGTGCTTCGACCTGTTCCGTCGACCCAAAAACTGAAACTGGCGCATCTGTCGACACTATCCTCTCCCTCTGTTTCCCTTCTTTTCCTGAATACAGAGGAGTGAAAGCTCCAAGCATTTCCTAGCAAAGCAAACCAAAAGTAGAGTAGCGCCTGTTTCAGTTGACTCGCGAACTTTGGCCAACGCCCCTCAGACCTCTGCGGCAAACAGTCGGAACTCCTCACCCCACCAAGGACTTCATGTGGCACGGTCCAAATACGCAACAAACCCCGACTGCCGAAGAAAAGAGATGAAAGCAACTCACGGCAAAACAAGACCAAACATCCCCCAGGGTTTCATTTGTCTCTTAAACCGACCTTCACCAATCCAAGAATGTGTCCTAATTTTATGGACCCAATACAAAAAAAGTGTTCCTCTGTTCCTTCATCCTCGCATCTCAGGTAACTTAGGGAAAAAAGAATCAAAGAAACAGACCCACATCCCAACCGCATTCACTCCGACTCCGAGCCACGAGGACAGGGGCGAGCTCGTTGCGGTCGTGGCCCAAACCCAGGCGACCGGAAGCATTACAGCCCCACACGTAGACCTTGCCCCCCGCGGTGCTGCCCATACTGCCATCCTGACCGTACCAACGATGTCTTTTCCCTACTGAGCACCAGGCACCAGCAAGTTTTCTTTGCTTTCAGCGAAGCCATTGCTGGTAACCAACCGCTTCTTTGTCTTGCTGCTAAAAAATGCAGGGAATGAGAAATGCAATAACATAAACCATCCAACTTGTGGTTCCTTTAAGGGGACCGGTTCATTCCATTTCTCATTTCCTACTGAGCACCAGCAAGTTTCTTCCCAAAGCGGAGCCAAAAGGATACCATTTGTTTGGTCCACGGAGATCAGCTTCCCTCACGGTTGGGTTTGGCGAGGCTGGGCAGTGTCCCATTTTATGCAAGAATGAGAGGGGTTCAAATCCCCACACCATCAAACCACCAAAAACGGGTAACCTGAGCAAAGCCATAGCGCCGTGGATTTTCAGAGTTGGAACCTACAAATCCCCAAATGTCCACCAAAGGGTCCCCAAGTAAAATTCACGCCCTCAAAAATACCTGCGTCCGCTCTAGTAAATCATCCTTGAAAAAACCATCAGATTCCCTTCCAAGATCAATTTCAAATATGTGGCAACGTCCATGTGCAATGCTGTCCTTGGCGCTCACAAACATGGAATGCCTGCTCCCTGCTGCCATGTGAGCCACCAAAGCCTGACATATCGGTGCCAATGTGCGACACTTTGGAGAAACCAAATCAACAGCAGTTCCCGGTAATCAAAACAAGATTAAGCTCCCAAATTTGAGACTATTTTTTCAACGTGAAGGGGGTTCGGCACCAAAAGTTTGAGGCGCGCTTCGTTTTCCCCGGCCTGTCCGCCACCCTGCACCGTGGGCATTACAACGCGCTCGGGAGCGAAGACGTCGCCTGAGCGCCCCACGCCGCATTGACCTTCTCCGTTCATGCCCCAGGCATAGATCAAACCATGCAAGTCGAGCACTAGGCTGTGGTCTGCACCACAAACCACCCGGACAATGGGAACGCTCCCTATGGGAATGTGCCGGGGGCTCTCCACAAACCAAATGTCCTCCACTTCGGGAGTATCGTCTTCATCCGCGTTGGGATTGGGGTACCCTTGCCGCCCACGATTTCCTAGGCCACTGCCGAAAACTTCGCCTCCAGGGCCATGGCGGTTTTTCCGCAGGAACAGGGTGTGGCTGTGACCACAGGCGACTTCGTAGATACCTGGCAGTTTCGCAAAGTCATGGCAGTCGATCTTTGTCGGCGTGCTCGCTGCGCGGACTTCATCACCACAGCCGATGACGTTGTACACGTTTCGCCCCCATCCGTAAACTACGGGGGGCGAGTTGTCTGACAAATAGGTCAAAGGCTCAGCGAGGTTGGTCACCGCAACACCTGTCCAAAGACTCGAGTGAGGTGAAGCAACACAAAACCAAAACGCACGTTTTCAAACTACCAGGTTGGGCCAAGCCGCTGTGGTGAACGCCGCAAGCAATCTTTCGGGGGGGCACCTCGTAGGTGAAATGCCCGGAGTGAATCTTGGAGTCAATCTCATCGCTCTTTTCCATGGCATTGCCACAGCTCGGAGAGGGCTGAGGTACTCAGCAACCGTCACTGGAAAACAAAAGCCTGGAATCAGAGCCCGCCATTGGACTTTCACTGGGATTGACATACAATGCTGACGCCATCTGTGTATGTGTGTGTGTGATCGGGGGGTTGCTTGTGATCTTCGAATATCCGTGTGAGGCTGAGCATCTAAAGATTCATCGCTGCGGACGCATTGATTGGTAGGTCGAGTCATCCACGTCCGGCGGCGCTAACCCCTGGCCACTATCCTGCCTCAGGCCTGCCACAAGCTCAGCAGCGGAACTGGGTGCGCCGCCAAAGCATCATCACGTCGCCCTTCCGTGACCGGCCACATGTCTTGGCCAGCTTCCCAAGTGGTCCCTGATTTTGAGGAGTTGACAACATCACTTCGGAACAATGGAGAAACCCCGCGAGCTTCCGGGCTGCCAGTGAGGCTTCCATCCGAAAAAATATCAACAGTGTGTATATATATATACATATACATAGATATATACACCACTAGCGTCCCATGAGCAGTCCACTATTGTTCCACTTGCATTCCATTTGTGGCCAACTAGCGCGTTCCATGAACGTTCCATTAGCCTTCCATTTGCATTCAACGGGGAACATTTATACAAACATGTAATGTGTGCATATATATATATATATATTTAGACAAATGTGTCTGTAGGCAAAATGTAAGCTCAACCAACGGCTTTCCCTTGCGCTCCGCCGCTGCGCGGCCGGTCGCGGCTTCCGGTCGCCTGCGCGTCGGGCAGGATGCGGCGGCCGATCCGGAGGGCACCCTTCTCGATGGAGGCCACGCCAGCCTGCGATCTGGAAGCTGGGAATCGGGTAACCCGAAAATGGTACCCTGGTAAATGGAAAGGACTAAAACCTGCTTTTTTTTTCCGGGGGGGGGGGGGGGTAATTTTGACCCATACCCATATGACGCTGGGTCTGTCTGTCCCTTTGCGGCACCCCTAAAGATTGTGGTTTTCGATTGCTTTCTGGTTCAACAGACTCAAACAAAGACAGATGTCAACTATGTAGAGATGTGGGCCCAACAAATTGTGGCTTTGCCCCAGGCACTCACAAAACAGACCGCATCTCAAAACGGGAACCCCATGGAATTTCCCCCAACTTGCATTTTGAGACACATAGAACAGCTCTGTGCTCGAAGTCTCCAATTGCGATTCTTTTCCCATTGCGACGGATCCCCGATTTCAAAATTTGGGACGGGGCAAAGCCTCGATCGAACGTCTGTCAAATATGACATTTGCTTCTCCTCTCGCCCGTGTCAACAAATTGACCCAACGCACTCCGAAACCAGGCATGGGCCAAAACACTGTATGTTGCCCGAACTAGTTCTGTCTGCTCTCCAGAATGAGTGCTCAAACCTCACCAGAGCTCATGCAAATCGCCAGGGCCAGGAACAGCGCTGCGCTTGAATTTTGCGTTTGCTTGACCGGATTCAAGGCGCGGGAAAATGAGAATAGCAGCTGCACACATCCGACCCAAAGAAGATCCACCCTGAGCTTGCCGGCCTGATCGCGCCTCTCCAAACAATCCTTGTCACGGCACCTTGAACGACCGATGCACAAACTCGCCGGAGAGAGACAGGGTTTTGCCAGAGAGACATGGATCCGATGGCACGCCACATGGTTTCTGCTATCAAGGGACCCCAAACGATTGGCTTCACTGTGGTTGCCCTGAAAAAAACTCACAAAACAAGGCAACCTCAAACGAAGATGAGCCACATCCAATGGATCACTCCAGCTCCGTTGCTCCGAGTCCTCGGCATGGCCCGCCCGCCGCCGCCGCGGGTAGCATAGTCCACCTGCGGCGTGCGATCCATCCAACGATCGCAACCGAAGCGCATCCAGCCTTCCACTTGTAGAGCCGAGCCCCGTTCTTGTCTTCCATCAACCGGCTCTCATCGATAAAGTGGTCCTACAGAAAAATCATGCGAGAGAGCGAAGGGAGGGAAGTCCGGTAGACCCAGCCTTATGTGGACTTTTCGCTGCGCTCTTGGGGCTGGGCTTGGCCTTCTCCTTAGCACTCTCTCACACCCTCCTCATTCTGCAAGGCATCCATGCGTCACGCAAAATGGGCATGGGGACGTTCGCACGAAAGAAACTGCACCATTCTGCTTCGCTGGCCTCCTTGGCCGGAGTTCGCATCTGACTTTCCTCTTCCATCTTGTTGCACTTGTCGAGCTCCCTCTCCAACTCATCCTAGACGCTTCAGTTGGGCTGAAAGGATGCTTGGCAGCTGGTGACCAAGCATATGAAGTTCCGTCAAAATTTGTTGTTCACAGTAAGTACGTTCGAATTTAGAGAGTCCCCTATCGTTTTCCAACGTTTGGTCTGTAGCACAAAGGTATCGTTTTTTTGAGAGTCCCCTATCGTTTTCCATGGCTTCAAGCACCTTGGGCTATGTGGATGTCCAAGTGTAGACTACTTTCCTTTTCCGTAAATTCTGACCGCGCTTCATATGACTGCGAGACACTGAGACACACCGTGACAGTTGCCGCCAAGTGCGGCAATCTTTTGAACAGCAAAAGCTCCTCGAGGTCCGTGGTGTTGCCTTTCTCCTGGGGCAAGTGACGGCCATCCGCCTCCACTTGGACCAAAGGGAGTTGGCTCCACTTGGATCCACTAAAGCGCCTCAGGCAGCTCCCCCATAGCCTTCTCCAGATCCCTTTCCAGGTCATCCTGGGCTGGAAGCAGCATGCGGACTACCCGGCCTTGAGTTTGTGCCTCCAACTCGTCCATTGCAGTCTCCAGCTCTTTTTCCAGCGCAGCCTTGCAACTTGCATGCAACTTGCAAGGATAAAAGAGGGGGTTTGTTTCTATCCCAGTGACATCTGTCAAACAAAGCGATGCCTCGTGTGGAGACATCTCATCCAGCGCGCGCTCTAGCTCTGTCTCCAGATCCTGGCAGCCCGGCCGGGTTTTTTGGCAGCGACAGCAAGTGCACTTCGGAAGCGCCTCCGGATCTGCCCGGTCTGCCCGGGCCTCGCGGCAGGCAACACTTTACGAGAAATTGGTTGGCCAAAACGGGAGCAGAGGAATCGGTGCAGCATGCCGGCCTCTCCATCTTTCAGCTCAACACCACCTCTGGCGATCGGAAAGCTGCCAATGACTCGTCTGGGAACGGTGGGGATTAAACAAATCTCTCTCATCCCCCATCTTGTTTTCCCGGCCAAGTGCCAGGCTCGATGCTGTCTCCTGCTTGCAGAGAGTCGAATTGCTTCATGTCCAAGCTGGCTCCACTGCGGGCATAGACAGCATGAGTGCTGCAAAACGTGCTTGGCAAATATGTGTGTGTGTGTGCGCGCGTCTGTGTGGATGATCAATCGCATTCAAAACCTGGGCCTATGCGCTGAGGTTGTTTCCTGGAAAACGATCCTTAAAATCCTCGGCCACATGACAAACGCTGCCAGATTACACGTAACTTGCCGATTCCGCCGGCCTGGCTCTTAAGAACCTAGCCCCATCACTTAGTCCCTTGGTTTGGACGGCTGCTGAGTGGCCTCTGTCTGCACATAGTCCTTGAACAAATCCTCTGCCTCACGTCTTAAAAGTTCCACCAGAAGAAATGTTGTTGCGCCATACCCGCAACACTGTTCATGAGCAAGCCCGGCAATGTCTGCACCCAGCAAGGCCAGCCCGGCCAGCAAGCCTCTTCGCCGGAATCCGGGGCTGTGTCTTCAAGATGCGACAGATCTGGCTCCGTCACGTCTACTTCAGTAGAAGCCTGTCACTATCACAAACAAAACAATCAGAAGCCGTGAACAGGCACAGCAAGCCCGCGCCTCTTGCATTGTCATTTGCCCACCGCTACTCCTATCAATTGCGGCGAGGATTGCGTCCTGAAACTTCGCGCGGAGAAATTCTTTGGTTCAAGCGTGTGCCGGTGTTGAATTGTTGAGAATCAAGAAGCTGGCATGATTCCATCTGCACAAATCCGAATTTCAATGTTTATCATTGCTCAAGCTGTTTGGCCATACAGCCTGCCATCCTACACCTACATTTCGATATGGGCCAGCGCGGCAGCAAGCCGGGTCCCTCATGTCATACCCAAAAAGATGCCAGCAAATCACAAGGTAGCAACAACAGGAAACCATGTGACAATGGATAGAGCAAACAAATTGATCGCAAATCTCGCAAATCAAGCCCCATGCCGCATAAGATACATGTTATGCTTGCCCGTGTAGCTGGGACAGCCCTGGGTAGCACATCATAAACCGCGGAAGAAATGCTGCGAACCGAACAGCCACGCACAAAGTTCAGCCTGCGTTCAGCCATGTCTTTGGACTTCCCCAGCACCAGTGGCCCAACAAAGAGTAGAACTGTGTGGCCCAACTTGTTGAGGCGCAAACAGTCTGGCCGTCATAGGCACTGAAGACAGAAGCACGAAAGCACCGAAGAGTTGATTTCGGTGTGGAATCGTGCGGATCTTGTTGCAAATGCATTTCTGCAAATGGAGTCAAAACCAAACCATCCAATCCCAGCACAATTGTGGTTTAAGACTACCTCATTCCAGCAAGGCTGTAAGTTCCTCACAACCGTGGGGCGTTTTTATTTGTTGCGAGCGTTTACACAGCAAAACTCTCAAAAAGACTCACAAGCTGACAAACCATCCCAGCACTTGCGAGCATCTGCCCAAATTTGCTAATAGTTGAACGCGCAAGCCAAGTATCTTAAACAGAGACACCGGGCTCTGAAGCAAGGCCTGCCCAAACACGAAATGTTGGACCTGCGATCCCAGTTTGGCTACCACTGGAAACACATCGACGTCTGCAAAACACTCGTGCAAGCATCGCGATTTGCACTTCAAAACACAACAAGCGCCTAGGAATATCCCTGAAGTGTGTGCGTGTGTGCGAAACTTCCTTATTCCGCTTCACTGCGCTAGTCCTACTTGCGTGGCCCGCGTCAGGCCGTGCCTGCCCCTATATTACAACAGGGGAACCCGCGCACCCAAAAGGGGACTTACAACAGGGGGGGAGGAAACAAACGGCGGATGAGTGCGGAGCACAGG